CGCCCCTGGACTCGTACCCATCATCCCGTAGGAAGGTAAGGCCCTTCGGGGTCCTATCTTATGTGTTACCGCTACCGGAACCTAGTTAGGTCTCCGATTCGGATTCCACCCTAACCCGTGATCACGATGTAAGTCCATGCTATCCAACCCCGCTCTCTAGAGTCGGGAAGGGCCATGGTCCTTACTATTTCCATAATTCGACCGGCTATCCACAAGGACTACCGAACACACCCGTAGGCCAATCCTATACTTAGGACCAATTTAATATTTGCATTTATCTTGGGTATCCCTTAAGGCCTACCCCTAGTATAACTTAAAGTTCATACTTTCCTTCCTTAAAGCATCCCTTAAGACTACTTAAGGCATAACATTTCACAATCCAACCTTAGGATCAATCTTTAACAACATTTCATTTTAATGTCCAACTAGTATCTTAATACTAGTCAAATTAATATCAACAAACCAAGTTCTCAACTCATAGTCATATAGACAATTCCAACTGATTTTCCTTTGAAAAATATCATTTATCTCAATATTCAAAATATCACTTTTAATCACTCATATATTCTAATATGAAGAAAAGTATATTTCAACATATGTTTCATAATAAATTCCACTTTCAAGTCAACATACTCATAACACATCAACATACACAATTTACTCATAAATTTGTATATCATGCTCCCTTTTTCTTTAGACATTTAGTCTTGTCATTTTGTAGGCATTATTAATCATTAATAATCCATAAAAATACTTTTAATTACCTTCGGTAATCTCATGAAATTAACTCATTAATTATAAGCAATATATAGTCAGCCATCCTCACCTTATGAAGTGCTGAAATAGTTGCCTTTGCTAAGCCCCTCGATCAATCCCCGTTCTAGGCCGATTGAAGGTGTAAAACTGAACTGCTGGGCAAAAGCCGGGCGGCTTTCTCGAAAGCCGGGCGGCTTTCGTGTTCTGCAGATACGAGCAGCTCACTTAAAGTGGCGGTTTCCAGCGATTTCGACTCCTATCGATTCACCAACTCTTCTAAGTTAAATATCACCACTTTATATCAATATTCTACACTTTTAAACGTGTAGAACATCATGTTTAACTCATCATATGATCCCCCAAAAAAATCATACACAAAGTAACTAGTTAAAGAAGATAAATGAGTTCTTACCTTCTTCTAACTAGTTTTCTCCTATGATTGTTTGTTGTTGCTGCTTCCCTCAAGCTTGGGCCGTGTGAAAGCTTCCTCTAGAGCTTCTCTCCCCCTTGCTTTGGTCGAATGGCTAGGAGTGAAAGGATAGGATTGCTCTTCTCAATCCATGGGGAAATAATGGGAGTATAAGTCAAAGGAGGGGTGTGGGTTGTCTCCAATCACTCCCTCATGCTTATGTCCACCCAACCCATTCCCTTTTGTCTCACTTCAGCTCCCCTTCTGTCAAATGGAGCACACAAAAACGTGGGATGGCCCTCACTCATGTGGGAGGTCATCCCATTACGTCCCGGTGTGTACAATTGGCCCCGAAAGTTGTATTTCTCGGCCCGTTTTAATTATATTTTATTTTATCGGGCCAAATAAAATATATCACGTGTTCCTAATAATTATAGGCTTTTAGAATAGATGTACTTTCCCCAACATTAATTTAGGAGACTCCGAAACTCATTTCGGGCTGTTATCCGTTAAATTACCAATACCGGTAATTGGGCCTCGTTTGACCACCGGTCAACTCCGTGCCTTTCCTATGGCCCAAATAAAATATCCACAACCATATAAATGTCATCTTAGACCAAGATGAATATAATATGTGGTTCGGGGATTATCGGGCGGTCCCCGTTCCCGCTGTGGGCCCCACATGCAATTTACTATTCACGTAAAAGAAATAATAAAAATTTACAATTACGCAAATTCACAAATCATCTTTCAAGGTTTATTACATAATTTACTAAAAGTAAATATGCTCGGGGTCGATCGGTGTTACATACGTGATGGCCTGACCTATAAAAAAATAAAAAATGGAACGTGCAACATAAAACGGAAGATGATAATTATATAAAGAAATAACAAGTACTCAAGAATGCAGTATAGTATGACTGCATTCAAGTACCTGCATTAATGCAGCATTTGATTGCGATAGCTGTAATTGCGCCTCAAAGTAAGCAGAGAGCCGAGATTTGTTTGATCGATGCAGCCGCTTCTCTGCGTTCACAGAACCATGTTTGCATTGTTCGTACTATAAACTCAATCAATTTGTAGATGGGATACTGACGCGCCTTGACAAAAACAACATTCAAAGACTCCGCATTGTTAGACATCATGACAGAATAGCGGTTACGGCTAGCGTATGCACAAGACCACTTGTCATTACCAATTTTTTGCAAGTATTTACGTATACCGGGGTCATCATAATCAAGCCTGGAAAGGTACTCTTCACATTCATAAACTGAACCCGCTCTCGCTGCTTGTAAGAATTTCCAAGACAACACCTTTGCAGAACCTCAAAATTTTGATTTTATATTGCCCAATATGTGATAAACACAATATCCATGTTCAGCATATGGAAACACAGAACGAACCGCATTTATGATTCCTTCATGACGATCAGACACCACATACAAATTATCTCTAAGCTTGAGACAATTCTTCAACATGTTGAAAAACCATGTCCAATTAACGGTATTTTCAACACTGCAAATACCAAATGCAAGTGGAAAAATCTGATTGTTAGCATCTTGCGTGCATGCCGTGAGTAGTGTTCCTTTGTAATACGATTTCAAAAACGAACCATCAACAATAATAACTGGAATGCACTTCTCCCATCCAACTCTCCATGGACCAAGAGACATAAAAAAATTCTGAAATTCTCCATTTTCATTACAAGAACATGAAACAACCGAACCTGGATTTGCTTTATCAAGCATGTAGCACAAAGATGGAAGTCTACCGTACGACTCCTTTTCAGATCCCCGAGACAATTGCAATGCAATTTCCCTTGCAAACCAAGCCTTTTTATATGACATCACAATTCCATGCAATCTTCGCATATCTGTAATGATTGACTGAGGTGTAAGCTCTTTTAGACAAGTCATCATATTCATGCTTGATGAGTTCAGCAATAAGAGAGGAAGACGCCTGACGACTATTAGCTTGTCTAATATCAATGGGACAGGTATGGTCGTTATCAAATCTGAAAAGGAACAAGAACAGATCACATTAACAACATGTAATGATGCATTCATTAAGGTGCATAAATGTAGTGCAGATAATAAAAACTAAGTACAAGCGCAATTTCGAACTTCACAAGGATGTAAAAGTGGGAAAAAATATAAGTAGATAATTTTAATACAGAAACACATATATAAAAATGATAGAATTTATTCATTCATTGTATTGTATAACTTTAATGCATATGATGACACCAAAATTCAGAAAAAATATGGAACTGCACAAGGCTATACAAGTAAAAATACAAAATATAAGGCCTAATAAGTTTCATTAGCTGCAGCTTATAAGTGCAATAGCACTGCATTAAATAATGTAAAGATTATGCAAACAATAAGTATTGTAATTCATACAATAAGCATGTCTAAAAAAATACATAAGCAAAGATAGAAAGTCACTAACCTACACACTTGAAACAAGCCACTTTCATCCAAGCGAACTCCACGAACAGCCCATAGACAATCAGGATCCAAACAAATAACATGTAACACCTTAGGAGAAGATGACTTTGTTCGGTATTGGAAAAAATTAGTAATTGCATACATCTTCAAATTAAAAATAAACTCCTTCTTGTTTTTATATATGGCGTCCACAACAAGATGGGTGGGATCAAAGTGGGAGACAAAAGATCTGAGAGGAACCTCAAAAGAAGATGTTAACTCATCATTATTAACATCTTCATCAAAAGACAAAGGAGTGAAATCAGAGTACTCAATGCTGGATGAGGGAGAAAAAGCATCACTGCAGTGCATTGTTTGTTCATCTGGTGCTGAAATAAATCACAATACTCAAAGACATAAAAAACGTCATCATCGCAAATAGAGTAATTAACCGTATTTGACACATATTGAGTACATCCTTTGAAATCAAAATAAAAGGAATTACAAAAAATGCAGATAAATTGAATTGCAAGCGAAATTAACATGGAGAAATATTTGACAAACCTTGAAACGGTTGAAGAAACTCTACACACAGAGGAAGCTTATTGAAGTCCGATTGAATGCTTTTAATGTGCAGATAAAACATCAAGCTAGAATCGTCATTGATGATAATCGGCAGAGGACATGCTTCAAATACATATGAAATACGTATACCACGTTCACAATTTCTTACGCCCAATGAATCGTATATAATCGCACAAAAGTCAATCCACTTGCAGGAGAAAGGAATATCAATGGCGATGGAGCTTGAGCTCTGAAAGTGAACGTTAGACAACCACTGACCATCTACGTTCATCAAGACATGTATGTTTGAAGATTGATTTCGAGAACAGGTGATTTCCATAATTTTCGTACCACGAAGCCGAACCAGGAAGAATGAATAGAAGAAGGAAACCGTTATTCGGAAGAAGGTTGAAGAATTGAGGTAATCGCAGATGGAAAACGGTTACCTAATTGGAGATTGTGAAATAAATGCTTAAACGGTTTTGGAATGGTACTCTGAGCGTAGGTGTGACGGAAGGGTAGCGAAGGAATAAAAAAAAATAGACTTATGGGAAGCGTATGACGAAAGGATACGAGTAACATAGATTAAGAAATAAAACTTTGAAGCCATATTTTGGAAAAGATCAAGACTTCTTGTCATACCAGCGGCAATTAACTCCACATTAATTCTCATCAATAAAAAGTCAGAAGTGAATACCCTATTGGAAGAAGGAAATACGAACGAGGATAAAATAAAGTAATACGTATGTAGTATGTTATACGTAGTACTACGAGAAGTATCGCACTCTTATGAAATTGAAAATTGAAAATTGAAAATCGAAGTATCTCACTCTTATAATTATGACACTTCAAATTTATTATGCACTCCAATCCTTAGTGTAGTTTAATTTGATCATTACAAAGTATATATGACAGGTCAGTACCTTTTGAAATAAATAAAGAGTACACGACCAGAATAAAGCCCACGACGCATATATATAGAAATTGCTCTAAATAGGAGCAAAAACTTTTTGAAATTCCAAAATAGGAGTATCATGTTTTTTATTACCTGAATAGGAGTAATCTGTCAAGTTTGAAAAATAATGTCATGTTTTAAAGCCTAGTAATGTCAAACTTGACAGAAATTTACTCTTATTCAAAGAATAAAAAATATGATACTCTTATTTTGGAATTTCAAAACTTTTTTACTCGTATTTAGGGAATTCTCTCATATATATAGTACGTAATATCCATGCATGCATATTATACGTAGTATTAATTAAGATTAAGATACGAGTAGTATACGTAGAAGCTAGCTTAATTAGCTAGTTCTTGAAGAGCTCCAAACCGTGCTGCTGCTTCAGGGCCCCGCTCCAGAACTTGCTGTAATACTCTTGATAGGTAAATTTCCGATAAACCGCCGTAGACCCGTCTTGGGTAAGCGATTCCGGGGCGCTGATTACGGCCTCGTTTTCTGGGCAGAGGAACGATGCCACCGACACTCTTGCTCTGTCGCTGTTCACTATAGCTCTATGCCACACACTCTTGTACTTGCCATTACTAAGTGCCTGCTCACCCATAAGAAAATTAATTACGATTATTCATTCTTGGTGTTATAAGAAGTATGATAGACTTGGATTTAACACGAAGATGTAAACTAGACTTTAATCATAAGTTGTTAAATAGTGAGGGGATTCTAGTTTAGGTATTTGCGGACTCTGTATTTTTGCATACTAACCTCTCATCGTACAGTAGTCGTCGGATTCGAACTCTGGACTCTCACCTCGTTGAAACTCGTATCTACCTTTTGTGTTACGCGCAAGGGCGTAGCTAGGGGAGGGTCAACCCAAATTTAAAAAATGTCTAAATTTTTAGTGTAAAAAATTCGTGTAAAAAATTTTTCAAAAATATTATTTGTACCGACCCCATCTTGCTCTGTTAAGCACACCCGATCCTTAATGTTATTATTATTACTAGTTTAGTAGGTGTTTCTAGCTAGCTAATTTTTTGTCACTTTAGTTTAAGAGATGCGTGGGTACCTGAAGTTGATCACCAATGTTGACGACGAAGGCATCTGGACGGGGCTTGATGGTCAACCATTTTCCTTCTTTGAGGACCTGGAGTCCGGCAACATGGGAATCTTGAAGAAGAATGGTCAGGGTATTCGGGTCGGTGTGAGCCGGTAACCCATAGGTGAGTTCGGGTTGGGGGCATGGCGGGTAGTAGTTGACCGCCATGTGTTGACCCTGCTCACCCAACATGTTCTTGATGCATTTTGGGTCGAGGCCTAGGCTCTCAGATACGGCTTCCTCTATTCTAAACCCAACTTCACGAACCATGGTTACATAGGTCTTCACCACTTCCCTGTTCAGAGGTCAGCCATTCCCGTGGTGTCAATATTTTACTTCTTACTCCGTATAACTTACCATAGTTTAAGACATTAGTGCAACAAAAATCACGGGATTCAGACATATTTTTGACAGAGATTCCCCAAAATTAGCAAGATATGATCGCTCAATCCGTGTCAACTATCAATCGAGCGTTCTTTTTGTAGTGCTATTCTTTAAAAAACATACTCTAAGGCCGGCATGAGAATTAAAAAAAATACTTCCTCCCTCCCTAAATAAACATCTCATTTTTCTTTTTGATTCGTTCTTTAAAAATGTCTGTTATCCTTATTTGGTAAACACAACAGTGTAAAACAATGTCAAACAATGTCAAACAGTGCCATTTTCTGAAATTGTGTGCAAGTCAAACATGACCTTTTAAATTGGGACAAAGGGAGTGTGTGTTTTACACACACATTAAAGAAAAAAACAACATAGATTTGCAATTTCAGCCCCTTCACTTTTGGTGGTACTCGTTCTGTTTCAGTTTTGCACGGAGTACCTTTTTTCATTTGAAGATTTGATCTTGTAACTAATAAATTTGTGCAATTTAAGGATTGTTCCATCAGAAAGCACACTTTTCACAAATATATCGGAAATGACATTGCAAGTGTCCAATTTTCTGCCCTAAGTGTAGTTTTTAGAGAGAAATTATTAAATTGCATTGAATTATTGGTTACAAAATCATATCATCAAGTGATTAAAATTATATACAACTGGGGACCATCCCCAACATTAATTAATACTATGAATAACACAACAAAATCAAAATGATAATCTACACCAGAAGGTTATTTAAGGTGGTGTAATCTATTATATCTAGTGATTCTAGTCAAATCAGGTAATTAAATAGTTGCGGATTGCTTTACATGGTCGACAAAAGTATGTAATTCGTGTTATTGTCATTATAATAATCAATCAATTCGTTCATGAAAATCATCGCTAGCTACATGGTGTGATCTATCTAGTCAAATCAGGTAATTAAATACGGAGTAGTTGCGGGTTGCTTTACATGGTCCACAAAAGTATTTAATTCGTGTTATTATCAATATAATAATCAACCAATTTGTTCATGAACGTTGTTTAATCATCGCTAACTACTAGCCTAGTACTATATAGGTTAAATAAATGTCAAAAACAATGGGCAACGTAGCGTAAACGGAGTGAGGCCATGACAATATGCTACTAGTACTCCGTGATATAGAACCAAGAAATTTCGGATTAAATATGTGGGCGTAGTTCAACGGGTAGATAGGGTGTCATAAAGTGTAAGTCTCGAGTTAGAATCCCGACAATTGTAATGAGAGATTATTATGCTAAAATGCATAGGGTCTCTTTAAGTACCAGAATCAGAAGTTCACTCTCTATCTTTCAATTTGTGATTAAAATCCAATTTACATTCTCTAAATTAACTGTCCGATCTAAATTAACTGTCCGATCGATGTTGGTGTCATCCTTTTTTTACGAAATCTCCAACTAACTAATAAATGCAGTAATTCCAGCGGCCTTCAACATATTATGATGAATATTAATCGAACGTACATACTTATAGTGGATATTTATTTATTAATGTAGTTATTTCATCTATTTATTTATGTTTTTATTATTCTATTGTATTCAATTCGGTACACATACAAAAGTACAACACCCTCAATGAAACTATATACTCCGTATAGAATTTGCCTAAAAATAGAGATATTATCGTACTAAAATAGTTTGAAAATTTCAAAATAGGATTGTCATTTTTTTATTCTCAAAATAGGACTAATTACTGTTATGTTTTGGAAGTACCAGACTTTAAACATGACAGTATTTTATAAACATGCCAGTTATTAGTCTTATTTTGAGGATAAAAAACATGACAATCTTATTTTGTAATTTTCAAACTGTTTTAATCCTATTTGAGGAACTTTTCCCTAAAAATATTGTTACGTCACTCGAAGATCGCATGTAACTGATGTAACTTGTAAGTTGTAAGCATGCATCTTTCATACGTACAACTTTTGAAAACTAATTTTTATTATCTCAAATTTATTTACCTAACGCTAACTTAACTTGTTATTTAATTTTCATTTATCAAAATGTCTTCTAAACCTTTATTCGTAAGAAAATTACCGAGTGTGATTAAAAGATGGTGAATCCTACGATATGACTAAATAGTTTTTTACGATGTGTGATCGATGATAAAACAAACAGATTCACTCCGCAACATCAAATTATTTGTAGAAACAAAGAATATTACATATTCAGAAACTACATTAAAAGCGTGGGTTAATTGTCAAAAAGGACTAAAAGCTGGTCACTTTGCACAAATAGGACCAAAAACTAAATTGTGTTTTTATAGGACTAATTATATGTATATTGGACAAATATACTCTTGTTGCTATTGAAATGTTTTAATTCATAATAAAATAATAAAAATTCGTAAGAAATACTAAAAAATTAATAAAAAAACATTTAAATAATAATAATTAAAAAATTAAAAAACATGTTAAAAAAAATAAAAAATGCAAGAAAAAATCACCGCCGCCTCTACCGCCCCAACACCACCACCTTCAGTGACCAGGGGGAAAATGCGACGTCCATTACGAATGTCATATTTATGGCAGATTCAATGAAAATGTTGGCATTCTCAAAGATTAATATGCCATTTTTTTGATATTTTCAGGGGAAAAAATGGTTGTTTTTAGAAAAATGACATTTTTTACACCGGTCGGAAGTGGTGGTGCAGGGAGTTAGTACAAGCGGTGGGAAAGGCATCTATTTTAAAAAACTAAAAAATTATTATTTTTTGAACTAAAAAACGCTACAAAAAATTACCTCTGCCTCCCCAGCACCACCATCTCCAGTCACTGGGAAAAAAATTCCACATGCATAGGAATGCCATATTTATGGCAAATTCAATGAAAATTTTGGCATTCTCAAAGAGTAATATGCCATTTTTTGGCATTTTCAGAAAAAAATGAATTTTTACACCGGTCGGAGGTGGTGGTGTAGGGAGGCAGTACAGGCGGTAGGAAAGGCATCCATAGTTTTTTTAGTTTTTTTAAGGATTTTTACTATATTTTATTATTTTTATTAAAAATTCAAAAAAAATTATTTTTTATTTTATAAATATTTTATTTTTTAGTAATATGGTCCCATTTTGGAATAAAAAAATAACAAGTCCTTTTTTGGATTTTTGCCATAGTTTTACTCCTATTTGGAGTAATTAATTTCCGTAAAAGCTTTACAAAATCGCAAAAACCAGAATCAAATTTGATAAACATTTGATATAAAAAATAAGAGATTAAGAGTGATTTGTGTTGACCAAGTGAATTAATGAGAAAAGTATCTTACAAAATGGGATTGAGGAAGTAATTTTTCTATCATCGACTATTAAAAATATACTTAATATATTTATAATATCAGAGTTATCATCAATAACTCTTTATATTATTATGTATCTATCAAAATCATTTGCCAGAATATATTAGAATTAATATATTTAATTAGTGTTTAAATAATCATGTCATTTTTAATGAGACGAATGTAATAAGTGTTTCGACTTTCGAAGATCTTCTTACTCCCTTCAATTTATTTATTCGTCATGTAAATGGATGTTTAAGTTTTCTAGTCATATGCAAAGTATTAGAAATTTATTAACATTTTTGTGACATATACATACATTTTCCTTTATTCATTCATTCTAAGTTTCATATATTACACTATCCTAAACAAAGAATATTACTCATTTATTCAAAAATTTCCTTTTATTCATTCATTCATTCTAAGTTTCTATATCTATATATTCATTTTACCGCATTTTATATACCTACTCTTCATACATGATATGAAACTAAAAAATAATACTCTCAATATTTTACATCCAACATTGTTAATAGTTGCAACATTGTGTTTTTTGCGCTATTCACACACTTTATTTTGACTACAATTTTCTATTACTAAATCGAATTAAATTATTATGTATAAAACGTTATTAAATTTTTATTAATGTGAATTTCCAAATATTAAGGGTCTGTCTACTAACAGAGATATTTTCCAGATTTTCAGAAAACTGGAAAACTGGAAAATGGAAAGCAGAAAACGTGTTTACCAATTTTTTTTGAAAACTGGAGAAAGAAAAACAGAAAAATGTGTTTACCAAATCATTTTCCAAAACAAAAAATGAGATATGTCTCTGATTTTCTTTATGAATTGGAGAAGTGACTTTTACTAGTTTTCCAAATTTGGAAAACGCGGATGCTGCAATGAATTTGCATACTTACGCCTAATGGTGGATCCAGTCCTGTTGTGGTGTCAGTCCAGTACGGTCCGATCAACGACCCGACAATCCATATTTGGTTTGGTCATTGACCCGACAGTCCGGTCATTGACACGACGGTCCCTTTCTGGTCCGGTCGACGGCTCGACGCTCCCTATCTAGTTCGGTCCATGACCTTGCGGTCCCTTTCCGGTCTAGTCCATGACCCTGGGCACCTATTCGGCCCGGGCCACGACCCGGCAGACCATGTCCGGCCCATGACCAGGAGTTACCTGTTCGATTCGGTTGACGGCTGGGCACTCCTGATATGGTGTACGACTTGGCGGTCCCCGTCCGATCAACTACCCGGCGGGCCCCATCTTGTCCGCCCAATGACTTGATGATATGTGTTTGGTTTGATTGGAAACCAAGCGGTCCCAGGCTAGTCTCGCCAATGACCTGTCGGTCCCTGTCCGGGTCGGTCAATGACCCGGCGGTTAAGTCTCGGTTTTTTGAAATCATTTTTAAAGTGAAAAGTTTTTAAAAAGCCGTTGAGTTGTCAATCAATAGGGAAATGGGAAAAGAATTCGTCAAACTAACCGTTGAGGTCGACTGGGTACCAGGTCCCGACTTTCCTATACGCGGGACCTGGTACCCTACTTGGGTTGTACTATGTTTGGTTCTGAACTGGGACCGTACTTTCGGTCATTTAGTCGGTCATAGAACCGGGTGAAAAATTTTGATGAACTGATTTTCAGATTTGAAAGTGGAAAACTAAAAAGTGAAAACAGAAAAATGGAGATAGAAAATCTGGAAAATCAAAACAGAAAATTAGAGAACGAAAAACAGAAATAGAAATCTGGAAAATATCTCTGTTAGTAAAACAACCCCTACCTTTTTACAATGTTTACCAGTAATACGTAAAAGATGGGAATTTTATCAATTTGGGACCTGAAAGATAGACAAATTATCAATCTGGAACCTGGAAGATGAAATGATTCAATATAAGACTCGAAAAATGAAAAACTATCAATCTAGGACCTAACATTTCATAGGTTTTGATCTATTTAATTTTTATTAATTCAATTGCTAATATTTGGTGAAATTTTGTTCACAAAAGTTTATTAGTTTAATAAAACTAAATATTATTTAAATTTTTTAAAATAATAATAATAATAATATTTATGAAAACTTAGGTCTTAAACTGATAGTTTTCAATCATTTGGATCCTAGATTAATAGTTTTCTATCATTCTGATCCTATACCGATACATTTCATCTTTCAGGTCCCGAATTAATAGTTCGTCTATCTTTCAGGTCCCATATTGATAAAATTCCAAGATGATATAAACATTGTGCGTTGAAAAACGTGAAAGATAATCAACCGTCTATTTAATTTCGCCTTTATTAATAAACATTACTGCCAAATGTGAAGTCATTTTCTTTCAACCGTCTTATTGTCTTTTTTGGGGTAGCGAATAGAAGGCCGACGCATGGTAACTTAAGACCCTCTCCTTTAGAATACACATGTACTTGAACAAGGTAAATATTGAAAATAATAGTGTATCTGTGCATGCAGATATAATTATATAAACCAACTTGAAGTCTAGGACACTTTAGAGAGTCATTATATTTTGATAAACTCTTGACCATTATTTTCTTTTGATAATTGAATACTCCTGACCATTATTTTGTTTTGATAATTGAATAGTTGTTTATGAAAAGAATAGTGTATCTGTGCATGCAGATATAATTATATAAACCAACTGCTAGAACACTTTAAAGAGTCATTATATTTTGATAAACTCCTGACCATTATTTTGTTTTGATAATTGAATAGTTGTTTATTTAATTTAAATTGTTTGTGTATATAAGACGTCTTCTAAACCTCATTTTAGAGCCATTGCAATTTGCATGTAACCATTTATCTTGTAACTTTGCACGTATATACATATTTCAGTTGTAGTACTTTCAGTATAATATTGAAAGCAATCAATAATTAACTATCGTGTGCATGATTTTTGCACATTTAATTGGAGTCATTTGTTTCCATCCTGGCTATAATCGCAATAAACAATGCGATTTTTTAGATAATTTTTGATAATTGTTTCCTCAAACAATTGAGGAAACATTTCAATTCTAAACATGTATTTTTGCTTGTTTTGTTTTAAATACTTAGGGCATGTTTACTGACAGCGATATTTTGTAGTTTTCTATTTTCCGTTCTCCAATTTTCTGTTTTCTTTTTCCAGATTTTCTATCTCCAATTTTTTTTGTTTTCATTTTTTGTTTTCCATTTTCAAATAAAAAAGCATATTCATACAGTTTTTTCATAGAGTTTTGTGACTGACCAAAAGATCGAAAGTCTGGTCTCAATCTGGAACCGAACCTAGTATAATCCAATTAGGGTACTGGGTCCCACGTATATGAAAATCGGGACCGTAATGGCCTGTCCCGGTCGATCTCAACAGTTAGTTAGATAAATTATTTTCCCATTTTCCCTATTGGTTGACAACTCAATGGGTCTTTTAAAACTTTTCAGTTTAAAAAATGATTTCGAAAAAACGAGACTGAACCGCCGACTCATTGACCGGCCTGGACAGGGACCACTGGGTTGTTTACGGGACTTGCCCAGGACCATTGGGTTGTCGATCAGACAGAACACAGACCCTTGAGTCATTTTCCAGACACGATGGGGACCGTCGGGTCGTTGATCGGACAGAACAGGGACCGTCAGCTGGTTGACCGGACCGGACGGGGACCGCCCGATCATTCCTAGAACAGATCGGACCAGGACTGCCCGATCGTCGATCAGACCGAACAAGTACCGCCTGGTCGTGGATCGGACAAGGACCATCGGGGCATCGACCGGGCAGGGACCGCGGGTCATTGACCGGACCATACAGGGGTCTCCGGTTCATGGATCGGACCGAATAGGGACCGTCGGGTCCTGGACCGGACTGGATCGGGACAACCACATCAGCGACCGGACTGGGATTGTTGGTTCATTGATCGAACTGGGACTGTTGGGTCGTCGACCGAATCGGACAGGGAACACAGGTCGTGGACTGGACAAGACAGGAGCCTCCGGTTCATGGACCTGACCGAACAGGGACCGCCGGGTCGTGGACTGGACTGAGACCATGCACCAGGTAGTCTACCGGACCGGGACCGTTGGGTCGTCGATCGGACTGGACCGGGATTGCTCGGCCGTCGACCAGACTGAACATGGACAACCGGGTCAATGACCGGACCGGACCACTGGGTTATTGACCGGGCCAGATAGGGACCGTTGTGTCACTGATCAGACCGAACTAGAACTGACACCAGAGCGGGACCAGAAAATTGAAAATTGAGATTGGTCGGGGCATAGATTGCCCCCTAGCTACGCCCCTCATAATAATTGAAGTTCATTTATTCTTTGATTGTATATTAGTACCAATTTTGGTGGTTTGACTAATGAAACCCTACCTAGAAGGGCAAATATGTGCAATAGATATGTAAGTAGACTTGCTGACAAAAAAGTTTCGCAAAACACTACTGACTCCGTTCCAAATTGATTTGCAAATTTAATTTTTCTTGGTCAAACAGTTTCGTTTTATTCGCTTAATTAGGATGTTACTTTTTGATTATATTATAATTTGGAGTTTGCAACTTTGAAGAAATTTCAATATAGTTTCTGAATATGTAAATTTTAATTATTAAAAATTGAATTAATTATCGATAGAGAGGATTGACTTTTATATTGGTTGATAAAAAAATGTTCGCTTTGCAAAATAATTTGGGACTGAGGGAGTATATAGTTACATTAGTTTCCAGAGAATAAACTGGGTAGATCTTTTGAACAGGGAATGTGTCGGTAAATTTATATTTCCAACAAATAAATTGATATTTTTCAATCTTTCGAGTTATATACGGACACATTTCATCAAGTCTCGAATTGATAGCGCATCTATCTTTAATTTCTGGTCCTGTTGGAAGGAAAATTGGTAATTTTTCAAGCATTCGAGTCACATATACCGACATATTTCATCATTCAAATCTCGAATTGATAGCTCATCTATCTTTCCTGTTGTGGGGTGGATTGATAAAACTCATTTGAACAAAAACAGGCGTTACATGTAGTGATTGAACATTTCTTACTTGAAAGAAGAAGGATTTGAAGGCCATTCAGGGGCATATTTCTCAAGGGGGTAACAATGAAGTCTGAGATAATCCCTCCAGTTGTGGACAGTCTCTTTTGTGATGTTGAAGCTGGTGGAAAGCCTCATGGTCCTCGATGGATCATCAGAGTAGAGCTTCATCTTCTCCTCCACCGACAAATTGAAGAACTCATGTGATACCTCTAACATTTCCTCCACCACTCTTTTTGGAACCCCATGGTTTATTATCTATACCATACATAATATGTTTTTAAATTAAGAAAAAGTAAACTCAAAAATTGATGTTTTTCCATTATCACTTTCAAGAAGTTAGAGCAAAATTGGTATGATAACAAAGTATACATGAAATTGATAGATAGAGAGACCCCAAATGAAAAGGTCAAAATTAATGATATTCAGTTTAGCTAGAAAGAAAAGAAAAATTACTAAACAGAAGCAAAACACTTCCTTAAACACATCAATAATTATTTTTCTTTCTAAAATAGGTTGAATTCACTAAAGTTTTTAATTTATTGTTTCATTATTTTAAATTTAACCTAAGCTTGATAAGTCTTACTTTATTAATACAATACATATACTTAGTCCTATTTTTTACTTTGTTTAATTCTGTTTCATTCCTATTCTAAGTACGTAATACCCATTAGAAAAAATAATCAAAATGTTAGTACAAGAAATTAAAAAAAATCAATACACTTAAAACGTAACTCAATTCATTCAAATATGATTTTTTATTCAAATAAATAATTTTAAGATTTATTGATTCGAACAACCAAGTTCACAACTAAATGAAGATATTTTTATGCCATGTTCGTAGTAACATTTATTCTTTTATCACGACTAAAAATTTAGAGATCGAGCACCACATGTATAGTACGTTAAATTAATTTTATTTATGATGAGTTATCAATCATCAATGTTTAACTCAATTTCATTAAATTAAATAAAACTGTTTACTACGAAGAGTTAGGGATGGCAACGGGCGGATCGCGGACAATATCACATATAATTGTACCCGCACCGTTTGGTAATTCCTCCGCCCCTGTAACCGTCCCATTATCCAATGGGTAATTTTTATCTAAACCATAACCGCCCCAACAGGTAACCAGTATAACCGCGGGTAATCGCGGGTAATCACTTTATTAAATGAGTCATTAATATTTTAATATAAAAATAATATTTTAAAAAAGTCATTGACTTTAGCGCAGTTTAAACGGCGCAAACCAATTCACATTATTATTCCGTCTGGTTGATTTTACTTTACCTATTTGGCTATTTCTTCGGTTGGTTGCAATAAACAAGAAAACAAGACGACTGCTATGTGAAAAGGCATCACAATATCACATACATAAAGAAGGGTTCTTTTGCAATAGTTAAAAAAAAACACTTCTTCGTTTTTGGTTTTAAAATGTTAAATTAATGTGTTCAGGTGACAACTTTTTCTTAAAAAAGCGTTTCTTTGCTTTTGGGTGAAAAATGTTTTTTACTTTTTCTATTACACAAAAAACACTTATTTTATCAAACACTACCAACTTTTACTTTTTCTAATATCACTTCAGTGTTTTTTAAGCAAATACATTTGCAAATACGTAGTAAGAGTTTCTGCTCTGATTTTTCTATACCATCTTGTGTAGTTAGGGAGAATCTACCTTAGACTAGACTATATAGTGGACTTTCCTTAATTTAATTTTTTTCAATTTTTCAAAGTAACTTTTATGAATTTAATTCATATCACTAACATTTAAGTCTAATATAATTACCAGATTCATCGTTGTTTTGTACTCCCATTGAGTTGCAAAGTTAATTGTATTTTTGGGTCAAATAGATATATTTTTAGATATATTTTATAAATCTAATTAGAATATCAACTCAATCTAATTAGAATATTTTTATAAATATATTTTTAGATATATTTTATAAATCTAATTAGAATATCAACTCAATCTTAAATAAATTTAAATTTGGATTTACATTTTTGTACAGATTTTAATGTAGTTTCTTAATAGGGAGAATTTAACTTTAACTTTGACTGACCAAATTTTAAACAAGCTAAGTTAATATTTTTGGCGTAAAAAATCCGTGTAGAATTGTATCCAAAACTATTTTTTGTACCAGCTCAATACCCTTCCTCCGCCCCAGCAAAATATGTTAACTTTTAAAAAATAATTTGAGAACCCTATTCAAATTAATTAAAATAGAGTTTAGACAATCATATTTAATGACCTTGCATTAAATTAATATACTCCATATTTGGTTAGAATACTGACCTGAAAAAAACCATAAAGGCGGCAGGCATCTCTGATTTGTCGAACGATGAGGTTTCTGTCTTCGCAGCCCAAATCGATAACCGGAATATCGTCGCAAGTGGCAGCTGCTGACAGCTGTGGCCTTTGTGATAGGGGATGGACATAACTATGGGGGAGGGTGGCATATCGGGTTCCGTTGGAAAGAACCATCGCAGCCATTGCTCGGAATATAATCGAGTCGCCGCGGCCGGAGAAAAAAGAAGATTCTATGGTGAGTATAGGAGGTTATTATTGTGAGGAGAAGAAGGCGCTCTTTATAGTGACTTGGTTTGCCCTCTACGCACGTACTCCATATTCATTGATTGTTCATAAATATAGTCCACGTAGTATGTGTCATTCTCTATGTCATCCTATACGTCACTCTAAAAAAATACTTTTGTGACTTAAACTAATTTCTAAATATTAAATGCCCGTTCCGTAAACCTATTTTCTAGTTTATCGATCAACTTTTTCACCAAATAAGTAAATTTTAATTATGCACGCTGAATTGTGTAACATTAAGAAAAGTAAAGTTGTAGTTACTTTTCTAGCTGTATTGATTGCAGTTATTGTTGTAGCTATATTTAGGTTATTTCTCATATAATTTTTTTTCTTTATTTAATCAATAAATATATTTTAAACATAATTTTTCATACGTTTATTGCATTAGAAGTTCAATAAAAACAATCACATAGGGCAACTTGAGGAGCGGCAAAGGTAAACCCTAGCCATTTCCCCCTCTTCTTTTATTCTCAATCAATTCTCTCCTTCTAAAGATGAAAATTCATCTCTTTCATAAATATTTTGAGGTTATTTTATGTGTTTTCTTCCTAGCAGTGTCTAGGGTTTGTGTATTCCTCATCGGTGAAACTAACGGGTGTTGAAATTTTATTGTAGGTGGATGAAAATGCTTATATTGCTTGATTTGTTTGGGAGCTTAACTTCATAGATCGGCGACTCCAAGACCTCAATTATCCGCCCTCCTCCTGAACCATTGTCGTGCTATGTGAGAAATGTAACGTTCGATTGGATCTTCTTTTCGGTAGCTGATCAAATTGAGGATTCTAGTTGTTTCTTTCTAGTGACTGGACAAACCAGATTCTCTATTATTTCCTTGTAAGTGGATGGTGAAACCAATTTATTTGTTGAATAGCATGAGCTTCTATGTTGATAGATGAGTTTACATCTAGAAAATGCCAATATTTTCTGTATAACGATATACCGCGTTTATTTTCAAACCATATATCGATACCATACCAAAGTACTTTGGTATGGTACCAAACCATACTAAAAATGATGTATACCTAAATTTTCGGTAAATTCGGTACTTTTCGATATGGTAAATAAGGTATAACAAAATTTTGGTATTTTCACACAGCTCTAAGACTATTTGGAGTGGTGTAGTAGTATTAGGAGTCCAAAATGTGAAAGATGCAATTTTTGGACTCCTAATTCCAAAATATGATTTTTCATATGATACCAATATAGAATATATGAAATGAGAACAAGAATGTGAAGTTTTAACTATTGGAGTTTCCTTAAGCCCGAAAAAACATGAAATACAAATTTTTAATTCATGGAGCCTCGACAAATAACTGAATATTTTATAATCAAACTTTACTTGAACTAAGTTCATTTTTTGTTAACCGAAAAAAGTAAAAAAAAAAATTAATGAAATTTATTTATTTTTACATCGAAATGTGTGTTTTTTATTTCATAATTATTTAGGGAAAAAATTAAAAGGAATACATTACTTATATTTAATTAATTTACGATTTATTAAATTGATGGGTAAATTATTTGGAGAATCCATACATTTGTTTCAATCTTAAATGATTGACTTTATGGAATTGCTTTTTGTTATACAATCTGCCGATAAAAGAAATAAGGGTAATACGACTTTGCGTCCGATGAAGAAGACAACCCGGACGTCATTGGTAGCCATGCACGCGTGCGTGGGGAGGGACGCACGCGTGCGTCCAACGATTTTACGCGCATGTCTGTCGGGCGCACAAACACCATGCACGCGTGCGTGGGTGTCGTGCGTGCCTCATTTTAGTCCTAATCCAACCCGAATTGCTTTGTTTCCTTTAAATAACACTTCCTTAACCCTATTTTGGGGGGATGGAACTTAGAGAGCAGCTTAAGCACGAAATTTTGAGAGGTTTTTACCCTTGTTCTTCAATTCATTGACATTCTTTGTAAGTTCCTACTTTTTAATTAATGACAATTATTTCTATTCTTCCCAATTCTGTTGATTCTTCAATTATGAGTCGAGAGTAGTTTTAATTAGGGATTTGGGATTGATGAAGGGGTTAAGCATGATGTATGGCTAGATTCTTGATGGATTAATTGCATGAATGTCGTTTAATTTGTGTTTGAATAATTTAACTGATATCTTTTGTAACCTAGAACGGCCGCTAGAATTACAATTGCTTTTAGAAAAAATTAAGAGAGATCTATTTTATTCTGAGACACATTCACACACACTTAATCGTTCTCTAAGAGATTAGTAACAATTAAGGGGTCGTAAGCTCGCTCGTTTTGGCAATAATTTGGGATCTTGTCGCATGAGAGATCAGCCTGATCCCCTAACTTATTGTACTCTACGCCGCGAGAGCGGTAAGAACTTAATATTGATTAGCTAGGCTCAATTAAATTAATTTCATGTGATTAAGCACGATCTGCCAGAAATCTGATTACCCCAGAATCAATCCCTCTTCCCTCGTCATTAATTAAGCAGAACCCAACCTTTTATTTTAATCGTTCACTCGCTTTAGTTTAATTTCAATTCAACCAACCAAATCTCACACGACACATTTATTTTATTTATTTTTAATCGCTGAATTTATTTAATTCTTAATTCTCTTTTACCGTCCTTGTGGAGATGATACTCGTACTTACACCACTATTCTACGATCTATTTTAAGTGCGAGAAAACTCACATCAGTTTTTGGCGCCGTTGCCGGGGACGGTGTCGGTCTTAAGGGTTAATTAGACTCAGCGATCTGTTTTTAGTTTTTCGTAGGATTTTTGTTTGCTAACCTTGCAGGTTAGAGCTGTTTATGCATACACGTTCTAAGAGAGGAGAACCGCTTATCCCTCATAATCTTGAGATCGAAAAGCTCGCCAGACAGAACCGAAAGGCTCAAAAAGAAAAGAATACCTGGACCATCAGTCTTCATCTGGAACCGCAGGGATGTCTGGTATCCCTAACACCACTTCTCAACAAGATTTCTACGTCAACACGTCACCCTAATCTTCTCCACCAATTTCACCTAGAAACCCTCCAGGTTTTCAAAACTACCGCACTCCGATCTTGTCCCAAAATCAGCCTTCACCATAATTTAACCTCCCTCCATTATTCCAACTTTTTCAAAATACCCCTACTACTCCTGAAACCAATTTTCAAAAAAAAAATTATGGGATGCAAGGAGCAGGGCAGGGTATTCCCGTCTTCCAGCCAAGACAGACCCCACCTCCAGTCGATCAACCTACATTCCAAAATCAGCCCCCGTACCAGAATCCGTATCCCAATCAACCCCAAGTACCGCCTGCTCAGCCACAACTAGCTTTCCATCCTAGACAGCAGGCTCCTCCACAAAATGCTTATGTACCGCACAATAATCCACTCTATCAGGGTCAGACAATTGCAGAGTTCCTTACACCAGACGTTTCAGAGTATGATAGCATTCAAGTGCCAGGAATCACTGCCAACCGTTACGAGATTAAGCCGGCGGTAATAAGCATGATGTCCAATAACCAATTTGGAGGAGGCCCTATAGAAGATCCAGTGGCACATATTACCCGCTTCTTGAGGATGTGAAAGACTTTCAAGATACCGGGGTTAACTTATGATCAGGTACGGATGATGCTTTTCCCATTCTCGTTGATGGACGATGCACATAGGTGGTTTGACAGCAACCCTCACCACCACCTCCAGACTTGGGACCACCACCCTGAAGTTGAAGAAGCACCTACAAGAGTTCAAGCAGGGATCTCCGGAGACGTTAGCTGAAGCATGGAAAAGGTTTAAGATACTGAGAAGGTCTTGTCCTCAAGGCAAGATGAGCAACTGTGAGATCCTATTTTTCTTTTACAGTGGGATCAACAATGAAAGGAAGATGATGCTGGATGCTTCCACCAATGGAGCCTTTCCCCGATTACCATCAGAGGTTGGAGAAGAACTCGTTAAGAAGATAGTTGCGAACAATGCATCCTGGTACAGTGACAGAAGTTCTCCACAGCAAAAAGCTCTAGGCCTATACGAAATCAGTGACAATTCTGCCCTCTCTGCACAGGTAGATACATTGGCAAGCATGATGCAGAAGTTCACAACTAGCGTGAATGATCTAGGGAAAAAGGTGGAACTTGCTCACTCGGTGCCCAGTCCTATGAGTCCTACTTGTACAATGTGTGGGGAACTTCATTGGTCACATGAATGTAATATGATGGCATACTCGGCAGCCCCTGGAATGGAGCAAGTAGACTCGATGTATTTTCAGAGGCAGGGCTACTACAATCAGCCCTACGGACAACAGCAATAAGGGAATTATGGACAAGGAAATCAACAGCAGCAATCTAGGAACTATAATCAGCCCCAAGCACCTCAAGGCCAGCAACAAAGGAGTTTTAACAAAGAGACTGAGCAAAAATTGTCTAGCTTGGAACAATCAATCAAACAATTAACACAAATTCAACTGCAAGCAAACTCAAGGATGCAAAACTTCGAAAATCAATTGGGGCAGCTTGCCAAGGCCATATCTGAAAGGCCTAAGGGATCCCTTCTTAGCAATACCAAAAATAAGCCAAGGGAACATGTTCAGACAGTCAACTTGAGGAGTGGAAAAGAGCTAGAACCTGCTGAAACGAAGAATAAGCCCGCTAAAGTTGAAGATGAACTGGCTGCCTGGGAAGAAGAGAAGGAGAAAGAAGAGGGAAGAGAGGTGGCGGATGCACCAAAACAGCCCGTTCCGGTCAAGAATTACACCCCACTTCTCCCCTATCCGGCACGATTGACGAGGAAAAATGATAGTGATCAGTTTGGTAAGTTTCTGCACCTCATGAAACAAGTGCAGATTAACTTACCATTCGTGGATGCACTAGCACAAATGCCGAAGTAGCGAAGTTCATGAAGGATATCCTGACCAATAAAAGGAAGCTGGAAGAAGTGTCAACTGTGACGCTTAACGAGGAGTGCACATCAGTGATACGGAGAGATCTACCAAAGAAGCTTAAAGATCCAGGTTCTTTTACTAATCCCTGCTTTATAGGAGATCTTACTTTTGATACGGCCCTGGCTGAT